CAATCCTCCGAAATGTCCATTGCATGGCTGTGTGATCTTTTTTGGACAGACTGGCTAATAATGTCTCCCTCTCCCTACCTTATTTGTAAATTTTAAAGAAAAATGTAATCAACTGAGTTTTACTATATTGTATGTTCAAGTATTTAGTAAACTATAAAAACTAAACATATTTCAAAAGTTTCTTTTAAAAGGTACATTATAACATAGATTTTCATACTATACATTTTTACCTCAAATTATTCACATATGATAAATCGTAAACAATTCTTTTTCAAAATGTAACAGGGTGAAGTTTCAAAGAGGGTATTAGACAGTAAGACTTGATTAACATTAGACTTTAATATGTCTTTCAAATTTTTTCTTTATACTTGGTCACATTTACTTCAGTCAATGTAGTAATTCATCTAGATTTTTATTTTGCTCTGTGTATATATATATATATATATGTATATACACATAATCATTTCTGTGGATGATGCCAGGAATCCAACTTCAAAATCCAAGATTATTCTCACTAGTTCAGTAACCAAAAATACACAACTTTTAGGAAATGCTCACCTTTTTTAACTCTAGTTAAAGTTCTATGTCCCAATTCCCATCCGTGCCAGCAAAGATCAAAGTTGGAGTCAAGAATTCCAGACTTGTTAGCCTATAAAAAGCTATCTTGCCATGGTGGGGTCAAAGAAGTTCAAGTAAAGAATCAATTGGATTGTAACAAGCCTCCCTCCCTCACAGAGACATAGAATCTATATGTGCTTATACTTTCAAATCCCCCTTCTTCTTTCCATGAGTTTTATCAGAGAAGGCCTAGTGCAGAGACAGGACTTTCACTACCATTCAGCAGTAATGAGCCACTCAGTATTAGAAACCACATAGGGAACCTGAACTTTATCACTCCCAATAGTAATGGCTGCTGTGTCTCCTGCCAGAGTGCTATTTTAAAAAATGGCTTACATAAGGTCCAAATTCTCATATGTAATATTCAAAAATGTCCTTATCAGAAACTAGGAAGATTTTAAAGTGAAAAAAATATTAATGTAAATGCAAAAATGGCTGAAATAGTAATTTTCTAAAAAATAATCTCTTCAAAGAAATAGTCTCACAAAGGTAGTAGATATAAGGAATACCCAAAACAAATTTAAGGATTGAAAAATACAATGTCTACATGTAAATCAGTGGATGATTTTAGGAACAGATGAAGTGAACAGAGGAAAGAATTGGTGAACTGTAAGACAAAATTAACTAATGTAAACATAGTGAGAAAACAGACTGAAAAAAATAAAACTTTAGAACTCTGCACGACTCCTAAGACAGGGCTAATAAAGTGTTTGAAAAATAGCTACACATCTCCATCGCTATCTAAGAAATCTAGACTTTTAAAATCAACATAAGCCCTAAATTTACAGCAATATCTAAACATCATGATCAAACTTTGAAGATTTTTATTTTCAAAGTAGTGGGAGAGAACTTTCCCCCATGGGGAAAACTATTTTAATGACAGCAACTTTTCTGTCAGAAACCAAGAAGGCCAGAAAAAGGTGACAGACATTTTTCAAATGCTAAAGGAAAAGATCTGTCATGCTAGAATCCTATATCCAGTGAAAACTAAGAGAATATATCTCTGATTTATCCTAAAAGAAAGACTAAAGAAACTTCTCTAAAAGGAGAGGAAATGATAAAAAGGAATCTCAGATATTAGAAAGTAATAAGATGAAAGTGTGTGTGTGTTTTTTTTTTTTTTTTTGGTCACTGATAGTATTACATGTCAGAGGAAAAGATAAATATAGGTATCTAAAAGATCTTTCAAAATTCTAACAGTGATTTTCCTAGATATAATTGTATGATTTTGTTGTTGGTTTTGGTATTTCTTTTTTATTTTCTTGTAGATTTTTTTCCCCAAGCAATGGTTATTATTTTCACAACCGGTAAACCTGTTTTCATCTTGAAAAAGAATTGGTGTAACTAAATGCAACATTACATCTGATTAAAATATTGTCACCTTTGTGAATATTTTAAACCACACTATTGATTTATGAGAAGCAAAGTAGGGAAAATTAAGACATGATCACACTGCAAACAACATATATTATGTCCTTGTGCCATATATACAATGTATGTATTTAATGAACTAGCATATATATTATATAAATTTTGGCATTTAGCTGCAAAAGTCCAAATACAGTTTCTTTTCAAGTGGTATCATAAATAGGCAGAATCAATGAAGTATAATGAAATTGAATTAAAAAATAGCTGAAATTATAAAACAAGGCAAGGTGTATATATTTGCTCCATAGATAGGTAAGACCATAAATGCCAGTTTGTCCCAATCGATTTGTAAATTTTGGTGTACTTTTTTTTTGTTCAGTTTTCTACTCTGATACATAGCAAAGTATAAGATTTGCAATCAGAGTCACCAATTATAAAACCATGTTTTGTTATTATATCATATTTGCACCTGTGGGAATATAGGAAATGTACTACATCTTTATTACCAAGTTTCTTCAACTCAACATCATGATCTTAAGACTGTAATATAGGGTTGAAGTGAACATTAACATATATATTCACTGAAATACTTTAAGTTCTACAATGATTTTTCTTTAATGCTTTCATTTTAACAAAATTTATGAATTCCAAATATACTATTGATTAATTTAGAATATTTTTAGAACTTAAAAGAAATCAGGCTTATTGAAGACAGAGATAATTCATATTTATATTGTAAGCATCCCAAAAAACTTGATTAAAAATTCACATATTCAATTTACATATAAACAAATTAAAGGAATTACTATGACTTACTAAATTCAAACTAGATAGGCTATGCCCTTTCACTATTCAATGGAAGAGAAACACTATAAAAAACATAGAGACAGAATCATATGGGCAGAACCTCCCATGGTTAAAAGGAAAAAACTAACACTGCATTGTGTTAAGTTTTCTATCTACTCTATTTTCATAGAAATTCATGTTAGAAATATTCTTTTTAGTGTTCATTGTAAATACACTGTATGTTGTTAAAATCAAGTAAAAATTTATATTAAAAAATTCAAAGAGTTTTTTTTTTTTTTTTTAAGAGGCATGTATTTTTATTTATTTATTTATTTGTTTGTACATGCACTGGGTATAGTCAGAAGTACGGGAGGGTGAAGGAGTTTGCCAGAGTGGGGAGCACAGCAGGCAGGGGGACCGAGGTACACTGCTGGGGGGAGCAGCGGGCAGCAGGGGAGGTCTGCGTGGGACCCTCCTCCGGTGGCCGGGGAGCAGCCGGGAATCGAACCGGCGCCGCAGAGGCTGCGGGGGAGCTTGGCAACCCAGCGCTCAACGGCTGCGCCACCAGGGAGGCCCCTCAAAGAGATGTTCTTAAGAACATTATCTCCCACAGCTAATTGGAGGGTTGTATTCAAAGTATATAAAACAAATTCAAGACAGGTTTTATATGTAGCTGAGAATTTTATGCACTAAAGTAAGACTACCTGACTGGACTGTGTGGTTTTTGTCTTAGTATCTTAAAGGTTCTGTTCTCTCAATTATGACTGCTAATATTTGCTATTTCTATGTATTGCTTGAGTATTTAATGAGACAGTAAACCTTCAAGAAATGTATTTTAGTATTTAAGTATGATTTTCAATAAATGAGTAAATTTTTCTAATCCTGACAATTTCTCACTCTTTAGAACAGTGCTGCTGCTTTGAGGAAAATGATAATACATTGTTCCTTCAAAAAAAATCTCACAAAACAGAATACTAATTAATAATGGTAACTTTTAAAATACATTCATAATGAGTAAATACCTAGTTACATATTTTATAATTATTGTTATGCCACTTTCATTTCATTATTATTTTTAAAGATTTATTTATGCATACAAGAACTGGGATACAAGCCAGAGATGCGGGGTTGTGAGAGGATTCACCCAGAGACAGAGTAGGGAACAGAACAGGCAGAGTGACTGAAATAAACTGCTGAGGGGAACAGCAGGCAAGACAGAGGTCTGCTGTACCATGTGGAGCTCCCTGGCTGGTCAGGGATCAAACTCATGCTGCAAAGGCTGCAGATATCTTCACAGTGCTGAGCTTAGCCCCTTGTGCCACCAAGGAGACCCTCATTTTATAAGAATTAATCAGTATTGTAATTCAAACTTCATATGATACATCTAGAGTATATAAAAAACTAAAAATATGTGATAGTGTTAGAGGAAATGTGTTTGAAAGGTGGGAAAGAAAAGAGAAATAAAAGAAAAACATTGAGGTAAAATAAAAAGTATGTACTAAGGAAAAGATTAGACTAAAAGGCAGATACATCAGGGCAAAAGGAATGATTTTGTTTTCTTCAATTTTTCCTGATTTTTCTATTTAATGAGAATTTGTATAACAGATTTAATAGAGTATCTCTGCTGATTTTTCTAATGGCAGGTTGAATTACATGACTTCTTTATATTCACATTAACATACATATCTGTGGCCTCTGCCTCTCAGAGAATTTGATTATTAGACTTATTTTCTCTTTTTCTTCTTTCTGTAATTATGGTGTTCTTCTCCAGAACCCTCAATTTAAATCTATTTGTGGGCAAAACAAACAGTGCCTAGTATCGTAGTTAATTCAATCCCACTCTTACTCAGAAAGCTGGTTATATATATATAGTCTTCAAGTATGAGTAATATAATCACTTTACTCAACTTAAGGTATATTTTAAATATATACTGGAAATACAATATATTAACACTTATAGTTCTAAAAATATTTAAGAAAGATCAAATATTTTGTTTTAGGAAAGTCATTACGGAAACTTGTTATATAAATAGGAATTAACCACTTTTTTTCTGACAGCACTTTTTAAAACATACCTTAGTTATGATTATATTCAGAAGTTTGTTCTTATCAACTTCCCTCATGCAAAAGTATTTTACTATTAAGCTATACATTCTTTCCTTCTATAGCCCCTTCCTACCCTGCCTGTCTCAATTTTGAATTTATCTCAAAGTAGGGGAATATATTTTATTTTAAGGCTGTGTGTGTGTAATGTTTAACTATGACTCTTGGGATCACACATTAACTGACTGACCTCAAAGGGATTTTAATTCCCTTAATTCAACAAAAATGGTGAGCCCTTTCTAAATTAATAAAATGAAGCAATACAAAAGGAGGGATTAGAAAGAAAAATCACCCACTTACACTACCAAGAATAAGAAAATTGCGATCAGCCAGTTTTTAAAACACTTTTCATATTAATCATATTCACAAAGCTTCAAAACTCCTACTCCTACTTCTCACCTACATTGTTCTGTAATTATTAATACTAGTTATGAATGGTGGTGACGAATTACATTTCAAAATCTTACTGAATAATATGTTGGAACAGATTGCATATTCTGTCAAAAGCTACTTTTTATAATAGAAGAGAATTTTAGTCTTGCCAGTTCAAGACCATAGATATATAAGGTTTATCAGAATTAAGACTATTACCTCTGCTTCCTGAAGGGATGTGGTATAGGTGGACAAAGCAAACTACATGAGTTCCAGATCCTAAGTGAGGATAGTATGTGAAACTAGTTTCCAAAAGGTCCTTGGAATTTATGAAATTAAAATCCATACAGACTTTCATTATAGCTATTATATTCAGTGTCCCTGGAGAAGCAGACACTGAGATGAAGTTAGGAATACAAGAGGTTTATGCTGGGGGGGTAGGAGGGGAGAGTCATGCCCATGAAAGATAACAGGGACATGATTAGCAGGTTTGGGCATGGAGCGATTTAGGTCATGATGCAGATAGTACAAATTCTTAGCAACCTAACGGGGGCGCCAGAGCAAGGATTGTCCATTCAAGGACTCCTGGAACAGGCAAGAATATGCAGGCTCTACTACATCTTTCAGCCTTCATAATCAGTTAATTTATCCAACTTTCTCATGATCTTTCTTAATATATGTACAGTGTTCCTTATTCCGTACACATTCTGGCAGCATCCCCTCCAATTTTCTAGGGGACCGCTCTTAGGGAAAATTTTAAAGGAGGAAGGTACTGGAAATAACTACAGTGCTCACTACTGCAGTGAGTCTTAGGAGGTAATTGGCACTCCTCACCACTCTTCTCCGCTAACCATTCTAATCTCCTTTGCCCTTGGCTATCATCTCCACTAGTCTCAGTGGCTTACCTGGCGTTATCATTCATTTCATTGGAAAGATAATAAATAGCAAGGGATCACCTGAGTTCCAAACATAGTTTTCCTTCCCATGATTATATAAAAGCAGTCTCATCTCCTTCTGCTGAACAGGCTCAATCATTCTTGATAATTCTGATAATTGATTCCACTTCTTGTCTGTAGATACCTACAAAACAGTCAAATGTACTCAGGTGACAAACGTGGCTTATAACTGCTTAAGATAGATAAAAATTTCATTTTGGAACTGTTGCATAAGGATGATCTAGAGGTGACCTGAGGACGGCAAGGAAAAGGGCTGAGCAGACTCATGTGGGCCAGGACGGCAAACCGCCTGGGAGGAATGCCCTGTACTTGTACCGTCCTTGGAAGTCTCCTCGGTCATAACTTAGAACAGCCTATGTCCACAAGGACAGCCATGTCTGGCTAAGGCCAAAGACTCGTGTACATAGCGTGCGAGGCAGAGTTGTTTTATTTTCTCTGACTTACGATAAAACACAGATGTCCTTGTTCACGATTCCTATATAACCATGCTGAGAAAAATAAAGAATCACTGCTTGTTGGTGACAGCAGTTCTGTCTAGTGTGTCCTTCGTGATGGCATTCCAGGTCTCAGAGCCCCCTTGAGGCTCACAGGATCCAGGAACCCTAGCCCTGCCGACCCCAGAAGTGTGAGAACGAGAAGCTGAAATCCTCCAGTGAGTCATGGAGAATAATTGTTGAATATAGTACTCATTCTTCCATTTCTTCATCTCTTGGTCTCAGACACATACATTCTTCCTTCTGGGATACAAGGCCATACAGAGTTCTATAGTTCAGTATGTATACCTCATTGCCAGCAACAAGACATTTCAGCTGTACCTGTAGTAGGGTTCTATGGTCATGGGCATACTTCTATATAGATTCCTAACTGTCAAGTGTGCTCCCTGGGAAGATAGTCTATTTTGTGGAATTCTTTGCCTTCTGATCAAGTACCTGTATGTTCCAGAATAGTGGTAGTGGTTAGTTTCTGTCAGTCAAGCCACCCTGACTTGAAAAACCCTTGATCTCTGACATCAATAGCTTTGATCCCATTGATCATGACTCCATGATCCTCGTTGCTATCAATGAGCCAAAATTATAACAGCATATACTATTCATCACCCCTGGCTCTAAGTGAAGAACAAGCATGAACTTCTTAGTGTCCCTCATCAGCACATGACTGAGATTCTCCATTATTCGTGTGTTAGCTGTATCTTCCCATGCAATGTGATCCTCTGGTGAGTCTTTGCCCCTCACAAAATATAATAACTACAGCATTTCATTTCAAATTCTCTGAGCCTTTAAACCTTTCCTCTTCCATTTGTGGTAGCAATTCTGGCATTTTAATTTCACTTATGATAGTGAGTAATGTTTTGTTTTTTTCTTCCCCCAGTTTCTAGAAACCACTTAGTGGAGAATTTGCACCAAGCCTATGGTACCTGTCAGGATGTTAAATTATATTTCTCAAGTAGATGGGCTCAAGTCTATCTCTGTCTAGTCCTAAAAATCTAGTATCATGTGTACTCCCTCAACTTCTATTAATATAAATGAATTATTGTAGTTACTCTAGGGGGCAGTATTTCTCTTATCAGGCCCAGATGTTCCTGGGTGATTTACACTAGTATTAAACTTTTGTTAAGCACAGTCCTTCCAATTGGAGCCAGTGTGGAGGGGGTAAGTTAAGTCTTGATGGGAGTTCCAAACTGATAGCTCTAGTGTCCTCTGTGATAGTGATGTTTTCTTTGGTTCTGGAGAATGGAGGTCACTTCTCCAAACTGTGAGGATTCAAAAGATACTTGGGAGCAAAAATACTTTGATGTTTATCTAGAAGTCACCATGCCATGTTTCAGAGTCTGTTTTTTCAAAAAAAAGTCTGGTACAAAAGACTCCTTTTATTTGAGCATTTGTCCTTAAAGCTCAAATGTATAAATCCTGATATTCGTTTAACCATTATTTGCTCTCCTATCGTCAACTGCCAAAAATACTAAGGCTATAAAAGAGACTAAGAGACTTTACTGTACTTTTTTACTTTAAAACAAAATCTGTTTTTCATTATCTTTCCATCAGTACTACTAAAAACAACTAGTCACTTCCATTGTGCCAGTATGCACGATTTCCCCTTACTTGAAAATCCTAAATCACCATGATCACCAGAGCATTCTCATCCACGAAAACATCCTCTGAAGTTCCAAAAGTCACTCCTGCAAAAATTACAGCAACTGAGTCATCACCTTGTGGTAGGGATTATCTGTGTGTCTCTCACCCCATGAAAGGTGTACCTTGTTATCAGTAAAGTAGTGAGGGATACTTTATTTCTGATATGCTGTGTTGGATGATGCAAAAATTAGATGCTGATGCAAAATTATGAGTGGAAGAGGTCTGTTATGGGATTGTCTGTGGAAGAATGATAAAGGAAGAAAAAGGATTGGTAAGGGAGAATATCATGATATGAATGTGTTTCAGCCAATATAATGGAAAGCTTCAGTACAAAGATTAACAGGTATTAGAGCGGCATGCAGAGAGAAATGAGCAGGTGCTAGCACTTCTGGGGTGCTCAGACATTGACTGGGTTGTCAGGCAAGAATACTGCCCATGCAAGTAAAATGGGTGTATACTGTATCCATTTGAGAGGATGAAAATGCAAGGCTTCTTGTCCTTGATTGTTCACAACAAGAGGCCAATAATAGCCTTATGTGGTAGCCTTTGAAGTCATGCAAAGCTAGAGGCTGCCAGCTAACTAGCAAATACTTTCTGGACAGAATATCTGAGCATACCTCTTTGGCTTTTGCATAGCATGAACAAAATGGCTAAAATCAGTTGTATTGTACACACAAGGCAACTAAATTATTTGGCATATATTTTATGTTTTTGTTCATTTTACATTTTTGATGACTGATGTGCATTTGCCACACAGGTAAGAAAAACTCTTAGCAAATGTAATTCTATTACTCTAACTGTATTTATGCTTATTTAACTATTAATCAATCGTGAGGCACAGAATAATTACCACTTTTAGCATAACTTAAACTATGTGCACAGTAAAGGGAAAACCTATGGTAGTTGATTACATAATGCAAACATAATCCCATATATTTCAGTGTTCTTTTCTAATATCCTAGAAACATTTTTGTATGTATTTAGAGCAGTGATGCTATTTACTTTTTTCTGTTTAGTATTAGCTTGAGACTAATTATAAACATGAAAGAGAACTCATTGCTTGCAAATGATACTAAATGTACAATCAAAAACAAGCAGTGACTTTAATAACTGTTTAGTTTATTTTAGTATTTTTCCAGCTTTATATGCAATAGACAGAGTGCTAGGATTTAAGAGTTATTAAGAGTTAAATGCAGTCATTGTATTCAGTGAGCTTTCATTCCTGTATACCCAGTAAGAAAGGAACTCACTGTGACAGAAGTGAGCTGGTCTCACCAAGAGATCTAGTTATCTGAGAAGATGGGAAAAGGCAGGGTGAATGTATCCGATTCCAGTAACAGAAATGAATAAAGGAAACATGTCGAGGAAGAGATGGCAAAGACAAACCAGTGCTGCATATTAGGAAATTCTTAGAAATCTTTGTTTCCTTGATTCTAAAAAATTGCTACTTAAAATGAAACTAAGGATAAGAGTGTTAAATGATAAACATCTTTCACAGGACATGTTTGAAATCATGCACCTTTGTTATAAACACGTAAATCTAAGATTGAGCCATTTTAAAATGTTATAAAGAAGGATTAAGTTACTTTTAAACATTAGTTGTATCATTATCTGAGTGAGTAAGTTGGCTGGCCATATATAAACTTAATAGGCACATTCTGTACACATAAAAAGCTACTACTTCACTTTGGCTATTTAGAGTCACTAAACAAAATGTTAGCTTTTGGAACTAAATCAGCAGAGAGCTTGGAGGAGATAATAAATAAGGCCAAAACAAGAGTCTTCATTTAAAGTTTGAATGCGATGTAACAATAGGGAACTAGGCTGTGCTTGTATCAGAAAACACAAAACTAAGGAAATTTAAGTTTCCTTGTTAAATTTAAATCTTTAAGAGTAGCAAAAAGCTGCTAAATAAACACTTGTATAGCATAGGGCTCAAGTCAATACTGCTTACTGGTTTTAAAACCATTTCCACAAAAACTGGGGTGGTCTAATTAATTATAGGACATTAAAAATGTTAGCAAACTCTTTCATTACTTGGAAAAATGGAAAGAGGATAAGTGTTTTTATAAATCTGTGAGTGTTATGGTAAAATTTTGATTGGAACAAGGAAATAAATTTCAAAATACTTTATTTCTTTTTAAGTAGACATGTTACTTTGCTCATTTGATCATAATTTTTAATAAGTCATATCATTTTGAGTAATGTAAGACTTGCACCCCACCCTCTGGGTTCTGAATCAGGCTTTTAATCACCATCACTGTGGCCATGTGGTTTCTATACCAGGCTCCCTGGTCCTTGGCTATTGCTGTACCTTGTCACTGCTGGACCCAAGTTGCTGTAGTGAACCCAAGAGACATAAACCTAGGTTTCATGGGTGATTTTCATGCATTTGCACCTCAGATGCCAAGCATGCCTATGCCCTAGGGCACAGGTGCCTTCGTAGTTCTGCACATCCCTGAACACAGGATCCCAGCTCCACTGGTGCTCTGATTACCTACATACCACACCCAGAATTTAGAAGGATCCCTTAAACAAGAAATTTTCTCCATGGGCAAAAAGGAGAATCTAAGCTTTCTTTACTACAGTTGACAATAACTCTATCCACAGGTGTCTGCAGGTAACCATAACCTTGTCCACCAAAGATCCTCAAACTCCTTGCTGACACTGACAACACTACTATGCTGCACCCAGCCAGAGCATGTGCAGTCACCTGCAGGTGAAAGTCTTTATACACCAGTCAGAACAAAAGTCAAAGAGGTTACTGCTTCCTCAGTAGCACAGGCATGAACTCAAAGCTACTAGAAACAGAAACAAGCAGGAAAATATTACACCACCAATGAGGTCTACAAGTTACCTGTTGATGAAATCAAAATCATTAACGAAAGTTAATGAGACCTCACAGAACACAGACACTAACCTAAACAGACTTAGGAAAACAATAACAAATATACTCATAAGTTCACAGATAGGAATAATGAAGTAGACCTAA